ATCTCTTCAAATACATAAAAGATAAAAATATATAATCATTTAACAGTGATTTTGTGACAGATTTGAGGGATTGAGGTTCTGAATATCGTAATAGTGGTGGGGAAGGAGACTCTATTATTGCCAATAATGGATGAGAGAAACATACAATGAAATGGTAAACATGATTTGTCTGTGACTTCATCACCAACATCATGAGGTTCAATTGAAGTACATGAGATATTGTAACCTCGATAAGAAAACAAAAAACATCAACTTACCAGTTTCTGCATTCATAGTTTTCTACTCATTCAGTGATCTTGTTGTAAAATCTCTCTTTTCTGTTCTGTAATAATTTATTTGGTTTGCCCCATAATCCAATGTCTCTGTATTTATCTTTTTCTTAAAGCAGCAACAAGAATTTTCATTTAGTGTTGATTGTGGGCCCCCCTGTGGACAAAGGCGGTAGTGCTTCCACCACCTCGTTTCATTGATTTCAATGGGAATCCGACCCGAATGAAAAACATTAAGAACAACTAAATAGAAATAGCTTCTCACTGATGGTCTGAGTTGATGTAAGTTAACATGAATTAAAACTGTTTCATAACCTCCTTGTAGTTCATTTAAGTTTGAACAGCCTCTTCAGGTTTACTAAAATGATTATAAGTTTTAAGTTTAAGATAAATGAGTTCAGCTTAATCAGAAAGCAGCTTGTGAAGGCGCACAACTCTCAAACATTTCTGAGTACACACAAACCAGAAGACACCACAAATTCATTCTCAACTTGCGTTCGATGGATAAAAATAGCAACTAGAACACAAAGATACAGAGAAATTCACCATTACTAATGTAATTATTTTAAGGTTTCTGTGCCATAGTATATATATAATTTTAATTGTTAGTAAAAACGTGAGGTAGCACCAATTGCCATTTATCTTGCTAGTTGTAGGAACTTGTCAGACCCTCTTAGTGACTTCTAAAAAGCAACTAGTGACAAATTCAGGGAAATCAGGGAAAAGACGATAAATATATTCAGCGCCGGAGTCTCTCCCTCTCCTCTTGGGATGTTTTAACACGAGAGAGCTGCACCTGGCTGGCTTTTGTTTGCCGTTACACACATTTTAGATCTTACTAGATATCACTTGTTGTAAAGCAGATTAGAGGTGACTGCTGCAACACCACCATGCACCCGTTACAGCCAAATCACCATTTAATACCACCATCATACGGTTATATGTTCCTTTTAGTTTACACAGCGTTTGTTAGTTGTACAAGGAGACACTGATCTGTCAGTGCAGATGTTTGCCGTTAAAAGCTTTTGTATTTGTGCTGTTGATGTTTATCATAAACAGGTTTACTACATGTTCCTGTAAGTTACATTTCTAAAAGTTTCCCTTTTTTTCTTCCCACATTTGTTTGCTTTCTGTTGTAAACAAATGACTGACGGCGAGAGGTCAGCCAGTCCAGCAGTAAACTGTAGTAACTGAACTGAGAGCTGGACACAGTTTCATTCATCCATTTTAATACTTCATTGCTTTTTGTGGTGATATTGATAATTGAAACTTTGACGATATGGTTTCTGACCAGCATGTCAGCACACAAGGAGCCTTAAACACTAAATGAGCCCAACATCAGCCGACTCCAAACCCCTCATATAATCTGAATTTTACCCAGTTTACAAGCTCAACTCGTCATTTAAAAACACTCCCTTTCTGTTGGACACAGGCAACCATGTTTTAAACATATACTGTTTCCTTTTGTGAGCTCTGGGCTGGTTTAATGTGTAGCATCTGGTAGGCTGGATAATAATTTAAATGGATTACTTTCAGCGAACTGTAATGTTTCACACAAGTTTTAACTGTTGAAATGAATCAGGGTTCACAGTTCATTGCATCAGTTGAAGTTTTTTTTACATAGGATGTTGCACCGTATTGTTAATATTAACATGGTGATAATGATATCTATCATACCACCCGTCCACAGGCAGTGATGGACACTAAAGGTGGGTACACTGACACCAGATTTACAACACTCCCTGTCCTCAAATATCTCAGGGAGGTTCCGCAAAACACTTTTAATATGTGTGTGTTCACCTAAGAAAGGTGTGTGTTTGGTATTCAGCTCAGAAAACAAACCAAATTTTGTGCAGACGTCACTGCAGACTGAAAACGTATCGATTGCGTGGCAATTTAAGAATCTCTTGGATTCATTTTCCTGGAAAGCCAAGAGAGGGGATGCTCCAATACCATTATCTTCTTCCAACACTGATACCTGAACTTTGTGTTAAATTAATTATTATTTAACAGGCTGTATATTACTAACCCCTGAATGGCTGCTGCTGTTGTAAAGGCTTGTATAACATGAACAAATACATACAGAGCATTAAAGCTTTCCATTTATTATCTAGTCTGATACTTCGATCCAGCATATTGGGTTGTATCTGAGGCATTTCCGATATACTGGTATCAGAAACACCCTGAGTGGGTTAAACAACACCAAGCCACACACCTCTCACTTGCTTCTAGCATAGCATGTAGCTACAGATGTGGATCAGCTCCACGTGTAACCAAAGGTGAGGTCACTGTACTCAGGTTGATAACATGGACACGAGCTGAGTCTTTAAACACTTACCCCATGCCTCCTCTTCCTCTTGGTCCGCCTCAGCCACCTCGGTCAAAACCTCGATCGTATCCGCCGCCGCTGCCGCCGCCACCACGTCCTCCGAATCCACCCCCGCGGCCCCTGCCTCCGCGTCCATCCTGACCGTAACCTCCATCAGGACCACCGTACCCTCCACCTCCTCCTCCGCTCATCGGCGGGCTTTCGTCTCCATATCCTGAGGAAGAGTTGAGACAATCAGACCTCCACAGATTTACCGTCTACTGCTACGTAACACAATTTATATTCAAGACAATCTAGAAAAGGTATTTATTCTCACCTCCACTTTGACCGTACTGGCTCTGCTGACTGTAGCTCTGAAGAGGGGGAGAGTTGTAGCTTGGAGACTGGTTGTAGTGACCTCCTCCGTGTTGGGATGATTGCTGGTGGCCCCCACTTCCCCCGTAGCCACCAGTCTGACCGCCACCGCTGCCGTAACCACCTCCGCTCTGTCCGCCGCTTGGTGGCTGGTTGTAGCCGGGAGCCTGCGAGCTGCCTTCATAGCTGTTGGAGGGAAGAATAAGTATTAAAAAAACTAGGAAGCACTTTAGAGAACACGTTTCTTTATGTACCGACCTCGAGAGGATCGTTAGCTTCAGCTTCAGTCAACAGATTCAGGTTTTCAAGCAGTTCGTGGTACATTTAGATCGATCCAGGGGTTCGCATACCGATGTAGTCGCATCTATAACATTAACACCGATTTCCGACTCGTATCAGTAAATCTGTACAACTCTAATAAGCAGTTCTGGGACAAGACAAGGTTTGTTCAAGTATATAGACTGCCATGTTGTTTTCCGATGTAAAATGGATGCAGTGAAAGTTTGTATGTCTCACATTTCATCACCCACATTCCCCCAGAATCTCTCCTCCTGTCCGAACGGGCCCTAAGTGTGTAAATGAAAAGCTGTCCTACCCTGAGGAGGATGAGGAGGGAGGCTGCTGCTGGCTGTACCCAGAGAAGGATGACTGCTGGTTGTAGCTCATGCTGGAGGGCTGGTTGCTGTTGTAACCTCCAGAGCTGTAGGACTGACTGGAATGATTATAACCGCCGCCACCGCCGCCGCCACTACCACCCTGGTTAGAAGACGGAGAACCGTATCCTCCTGAGAGAAGAGATCGGAGTTAACCATACAATAATGTGTTACTGAAGAACTCACGGTTACTGAGTCTTCCTCTACCTGACGAGGGCTGACCGTAGCTGCCGTATCCTCCCTGGTTGTACGAGCCGGAGCCGGAGCCGGAGCCGCTGTCCGAGCTCTGGTTGTAGCCTCCGTAACCCTGCTGGCTGTAACTCTGGCCGGAAGACTGACCGTAGCCCTGGTTGGAGCCGCCACCTCCTCCACCACCTCCTCCTCCACCGTAGGACCCATAGCTGCCGGTAAAGAGTGAATAATAATCACTAAACAGGAAGATATTCCCACAACAAGGAGTTCTCATGTGAATCATTTACAGTTTCTGAGCTCTCAAAGCTTTATATAAAACATATTATATATTTAAAAACTCAACAAATGTCCTTTATATAATATCTGTAAATCCACTGACCCGACCCCGGAGGTTAAGAAGCTCTACTTACCCCTGGGCAGATGTTTGGGAATAATCTGTGGAATAAACAAAATGTGTTAATATCACTTATTATTTAATAAGTTTCAACATTTAAAAGCACAGATCGAATATGTCTGATTCAAAGCTTCATTACAACGATAGAACATAAAGAGGTCAAAATAATTCATTATTATCATTATTATATATTATCTGCTGTAATTTAATTATACTGATCATTCATATACAATATAACTTAGCCAGCCAGTAATTGTCATGCATCCCTAAATAAGGGATTTAAAAGTAAATAAGTGACTGAAGTACAGAGGTTTAATAAAGAAATAGAAAAAATAAAAGTACCCTTAATACAGAATCACAGCCGTCAGTGTTCATTTATATTCTTCTTCTTTATGAATATGAGAAATGATAAACGTTGTATTGTCTGTTGTCATTAAATAAAACCATCATATTCTAACGTATTAATGGGAGGATGAGCAATTAATCAGCAGTGTAATACATTTATTTCATTTATTTAAAACATAACTTTTGTATCGTTGAGCTTAATATGAAAAATACATGTAGTTAATAATATATAGATGTTATATAAACCATCATATTAACAGACTATCTTATGGAAGCTCATTTCCACCAATGTGACCAAATAAAGATGATGTAAGTCGTTATAATGAGACAATATTCTAATATTCTCAATAATAATATTATTTTAATATATCAAAATAAAGACTTAATATCTTATAATAAAGACTTAATATCTTATAATAAAGACTTAATATCTTATAATAATGAGAACCTTGCTCAATATTTTGACTTAGCATCTCAAAATAATATATATAATAATAACTTTGAGATACTAAGTAAATATTTAGAGACATAATGAACTGAGCTTCCATACACACACATATATTTATACATAAATATGTATACATATAAATTTATATATATGAATATTTATACATATATTTATATAAATATATGTATAAATATTATTATTATTAACTATTATTATTTTTTAAATTTTAATATTTATACATATACATATATATATGTATATATATATATATATATATATATATATGTTTTATATATATCATGGTAGATT